GAAAATTTGATTACTAATAGAATAGACTCTGTATTGTAAGAAAAATAGATGAAAGTGAATTGCATGAACCCTTTACTAGGAATAGAGTCAAGAAATTAAAAGAAAGGTTGAAAATTACAAATGTTGAACTGATCATAAATAGTGTTGACTTCAAGGACGCAAGTCAAGCTCCTATCATGATCAGAATCGGGTTTCAAAGTTCAGTTGGGTAATCATACAGATAAGAACTGATTAAAGATTAATTGATTCGCATGAGAGATATGTAATTCAGTAAATAAGAAAAAGGTTAAATAATCGATTTATTATGTAATTAGAGCATGAGTTAATATCGTAAAATAAATTATAATGTAATTAATTTAAAGTCAAATATGTATAAAAAAGTCAAAAAATAAAAAGAGGTTCACTTTCTTTTGTTCGCAGTCAAAAATAAAATATTGCAAAAAATAGTTGTACATTATCTTCATAGAGAGACCTTATTAACTTAGTCAGTTTGTAGAATCCTTCATATATGGTCAAGTAAAGCTTTGACACTATAACTAGTTATTTAACTGTATGACTGTGGTCAACCAGCTATGAGCGATTAACTGATAATAACTGACCAATGACCGACCGAACCCATCCCTACTTCTGACATAATATAATGAAATAAACAGCCCTCTGAGCTCATGTTCTTGACCGGCCGTTAATTCAGCTCACAGTCATAAGATTTTAAGAAGCATTCAATCAAATGAGAAAATAAAAATTAAATTATACTTCTCTAGTTCAATAATTATCTTCTAATTCAATAACTATACTTGAAATCAATCTAGAAGTAATATAATGAAAATGAATCATAAATACTGGCCGTTGTTCTATAAAGCAAGTACGTTTTATTTTACCTCTTCCTACTCGAAAAATCAGTATGCATATTCTTTCAAAGTACCTTTGCTAGCATTATTTTTTCTTCAAATCTCTGTTCTTATAAAGTGTGTTTTCTAAAGTACTGAAATTAAAACGAATGGCCCTCTGAGCTCACATTCTTGACTAGCCGTTAATTCAGCTCACTGTTACAAGATCTTAAGCAATTAATATATTCAATCAAATAATTAAACAAAAATTAATAAAATCATACTTCTTTAATTGATAATTATCCCAAACTCAATAACTATCCTTGAGATTGATCTAGAAGCAATCTGGATAATAATGTAGTTGTCTGGAAATCAAATCAAATGATCCAAACAATCATTAAAGATATTATCGATTAATTAAACTATTGCTATACTATACTAATAAGTAATTATTGTTATTTTCATAGCTAATTCATTTCTTTATTAATTTATTTCATATCTCACTTCATATTTCGCTTCAGACTACACTTCACATTTTATATTTCACTTCATATTTCACTTCACACTTTGCTTCACTTTTATATTTTGCTTCATATAAATAAAAAAAAAATAAAATCAAATAATAAAAGTACGATTCGTTCAATTTTGCTAATTTATCTACTTCAAAAAAAATTTTTACTCAATAATACTTATATTGGGCAGCTTAATGCAATTTTATATGTAGATCTTAACAGTAATGAAGATGCTTTAAATCGATTAAGCGAATTTCAAAGACTATTATGCAACTAACCAAAACCTTTATTGTTGAAAAAAAATAAATAATAAAGTTATTTTTCGAAAAGAAAAGACACAGTATATGAACAACTATTTGCTGATATTAAAAATGTTACAAATATGAAAAAACTAAATTTTTATTATTGGAAAAACTGGCTTCTTGCTTTATCAACAGAATTCTACTATAAAGGATGATATGAAACAAAAATTCGGGTACAACCAGCATCAGTACAACGAAGAAAGCATAAAGTTTCTCAAGAAAATGTCGACCAAACCAAATCAAAAAAGAAAAACTTCTGAAAGAATGTATAATTTATCAAAAAATATTAACGTGAATAAACAAAATTAATAATGTAAAAGTTTTAATCTATTGTAATATTTGCATGAAATATATAATGAAAATAAATATATATAATTAATTGTGTTATAAATCAAATTTCAAAAATTTTTCCAGATATTCATTCTGAACTATCACATGATTATCTGAAGCATAACCTGATATACATTTTCGAGATGTGATCTAGAAGAAATATGATGAAAATAGGTCAAAGATACTGATCTAGTATTCCAAATTATTAATTGAAAACCAACTAATTGCCAACTTTCCAACTAGTCGATTTGAAAAAATTTTAAACAACTAATTGATTAATCATTCAACTAGTAAAATTCTGAGAAATTCTGTCTAATTGGGCAGATCCATATTAATTCCTTTTGTTTGATTAGCTAATTATCTGATGATGCCATGTGATATAAACAATCGATTAGTTGCAACTATAGTTAGCAACTAATCGATTGGTAAAATATTTACCAACTCGGAATACTATACTGATCGATGTTCTATAAAGCAAGCATCTTTACTTATCTTTTCATACTTGAAAAATTAGCATATATTTCCTTCTAAAATAACCTTGCTAGTGCTTTTACTTCTTCAAATCTCTGTTTGTAAAAAGTGAGTCTTCTAATATACTATAATAAATGAATAGCTTTTTGAGCTCACATTCTTGACCGGCTGTTAATTTAGCTTACAGTTATAAGATTTTATGCAATTAATATGTTTAATCAAATAATTAAATAAAGTTAATAAAATTATACTTCCCTAATTCAATATTATCTTCATTCAATAACTATTCTTGAGATTAATCTAGAAGTAGTATGAAAATAAATCAAAAATACTGATTGATTTCTATAAAGCAAGTATGATTTATTTATCTCTTCTGATTCAGGAAATCAGTGTATATATCCTTCTAAAGTAATTCTTAAAAAGTGAATCTTCTAACATACTGTAATTAAAATGAATAACCCTTAGAGCTCATGTTCTTAACCGACCAATAATTTAGCTCACAGTTATAAGATCTTAAGAACAATTGATATATTTAATCAAATAAACAAAATTAATAAAATTATACTTCTCCAATTTGATAATAATCCTTTAGTTCAGTAACTATCCTTGAGATCGATCTAGAAGTAGCATAATGAAAATAGATCAAAAATACTGGTCGATATCCTATAAAACAAATATGTATTATTTTACCTCTTTTACTTGAACAATCAGTATATATATCCTTCCAAAGTGACTTTCTAGTACTTTTCCTTTTTAAAATCTCTGTTCTGATAAATGAATCTTCTAATATACTGTAATAAATAAACGGCCTTCTAAGCTTACATTCTTGACTAGCCGTTAATTCAACTCACATAAGATCTTAATAAGCAATTAATACATTCAATCAAATAATTAATAAAATTATACTCCTCTTATTTGATATTTATTTCTTCTATGATTTAATCATTATTCTTGACATCAATCTAGAAGTAGTTGATAAAAATAGATCAAAAATACCAAGAAGTGCTCTTATAAAGTTTGCTATTATTTTTATCTCTACAGATTCAAGAGTTAGCATATGGGAGTAAATCAATAAAAATAAAGCAAATTATTTTTATTGAATTTTTTTAAAATTTTATACATTAATAACTTAACCAAAATTTGATCAAATTTAATAAATTTTTTTTTAAACAAATTTTATAAATTAAGAATTTATTTAAAAAAAATTTTATTAAATTTGATTAAGTTTTTGTTGAGTTATTATTGTTTAAAGTTTTAAAAAAATTTACTTAGAAAAAATTTGCTTGATTTCTATTGACTCAACCCCATATATATTCCAAAGTGATTCTACTAGTGCTTTTATTCTTTAAATTTCTGTTATTATAAAGCATGTCTTTTAACACACTTCTATAAAGAAATCAATATGGTATATTTAAAGTGCTATCGTTTCATAATTTAAGAATTATTCTCAGAGTAAAAACAAACTGTCCTCTGTGCTGACGTTTTTGAGATAAAGTTTTAGATAGCTATTAGTACTGTTTTTGATTTAAAGTTACTCTTTTCTGGTTTAAGATTTATTCGATTTATTCGCGTGTGAAATTTTATTTAAACGTGTATCATTATTTGTCTAGAATATATCATATGATCTTTATACTATTACACACGTAGTCGGGAATATTACCAAAAGTGGTGGTTGGCTAAAGCGGAGTGAAGTTTAGGGTTACATTTTTGACGTAGTTATGGTTAGTGGGTTATATAGATATCAAGAATGTAATTTATGCAGCATGTAGATCATATATTGAATTAACTCCGCTTTAACCGACCCCCAAAAGTGGAGGTCGTCTAAAGCTATGGCAGAGTAGATGGAGTACCCTAGTTTCACCACCATTCACTAAGAGTTTTACCAGTTTCACCAGCATTTATAGTAGTGCCTACACCTGTGACCC